TTTGAGATTTTATTCCGTTTTATATCTACTTTATATTCATATCTTGACGATCAATTAAATCTAATATTTCTATCTAAATTTAGATTTCTAACAGATTAATTAATTGATTTGTAATATGATAAATTTGTAGATCCTTTTGAGTATATCGACCAGGAATCGTTTGATATTTACATCAGAAGCCATCAATTCTTGAAGCATTATAGAGAAACTTGCAAGGACTTTTTACAATCGCCTGCAACAAAGAAATTTCGCTTCGAGTGTCAAAAGGCGATCAATATTCCTGTAAACGCGATTTCTGGTGTAAGCGAGCAACACTTGAGAGACAAATATGACAGACTGCAGAATCTTTTGACTGGAAAATTGTTACCTAACGTCACACATCATCCACAAGGAGTAATTTTCTGTAAAAACCATCTGGCAAAAAAGATAGTCGTATGTTATCTTTTTAAAATTTATAACTACAGGAGAATATATTTATGAGTTTATTATGATTGATCTGTTTTTTTTTTAATTTAGAAGCAAAAATTTATTGAATAAAAATTAAATTATGTAAAAGTTAATCTAATTTATAAACAAATTCTTTTGCTATTAGATTAAATATATTTTGTTATTTTTAAATAAATTTGCAATCATAATATTGTATGAATTCTTAGAGCCAAGGCGAGACTTTGGTGTCTAGCAAACCAGAAATGGCATTCCCTGTGGCGATGATTGTTGTGGCTCTTTGGAACGAACATCCAGACTTTGGCGAATTATTTCTGGCTCATCTTCACGAGGCATGTCCATTTACCATACCAGTTTTTCTACAGCAACAAGAAGGTCAGTCTAATGAGGATTATTACAAATCTCTTGGCTGCAAATATTCTGAAGATGGTACCGTCGAAAAACAAGACAAATTCCTAAAGAGGATGTCGGGATTGATCAGATTGTATGCGTCGATTACCGTTACGAAACAGCGAAAGAGTGTTACCAAAATTCATCCTTATGGTCTTCAGCATTCTTGGAGATGGCTGGCAGCCGTTTTGAATATCGGTAGGAAAATTACATATAATAAAATGTAAACATTAATATTCTGCATTAAAAATAAATTGCTAAAATAAAAATATTTAAAAAATATATAAAAGCAAGACGTTTAGAAAAATAGAAGTAAAATCTTTACAATATACAAAATTATAAATATCATACAAGAAAAATTTATATTTTTACTTTTCAGAACCACGAACCGATATTTGTGATTTGTGCGCGACTTTGATACTGGATATGCTCGAGGTCGCCGGTAATGTGCTATGGACCGCCTACCCGAAACAGTTTTATAAGTTGCTGACGCTGTTGATGGAACAGTATTTTCCGCGAATGCGTCATGTCGCGGGCGGTGGTGGCGGACCTCTAGTACGGCTGGAGGAATTTCTAAACAACGCCCTGTCAACTGGCTTCATACGTCTCGCCGATGGGATGCTTCCGCCAAACTTTTTGTGATCTTCCGTGAGATCATCCCGACGACGTAGTGACTTAAACGTAGGCTAAAATTTACTACAAATTTAGCGATGGGTTAAGAAATATATTTGAATTGTTTCGAACATACGAAAGTATTGATGGTAATGGAAGTTTCAAATTGTTTCAAGTTTCTTGAAGCAAGACGATTTTACATATTTTGAAAAAAATGTAAGTTTCAGAAAAAAATTAAATTTCAAAAATTCAATTATATATAAAAAAAAAATGAAAATCACTAAATGAATTTTTCTAAAAATTATGAAAAATTTGACGAATTTCATATTTGTTAAAATTTGTTATTTCACAAATTTCACAAATTTATCGAAATTTATGAAAAATATGAACTTCAAGTAATGAACTGATGAAACGAGTCTAAATTTTAGTTGCAAGCAGAATTATTTGGAAAGAAAAAAAGTTGAGTATCCATCGGAATGTAAGCCTCATCGAATTGTTTATATCGTGAGTTCTTCTAAACGAATTTTACAATTTATAAAGCGGATTTTGATAGTACTTTACGCACTATGTGGATCGATTTGGAATAAATTGGAAAGTGTGTTATCGCGGAAAAGAGCGAAAAATCGAATGAGAGAGAGAGAGAGAGAGAGAGAGAGAGAGAGTGTGTGTATATGTTTGTGTAAATGAAGAATAAATTTGCGAATTATATTTATTTAATAAAAAAAATATTACATGTTATATTCAAGCAAAAAAGAGAATTCGTTTATAAATGTATATATGTATAAAACGATAAAAGACAGAAGTAAAGAATAAATAATGTAAAATAATTTTAATAGTAAGGCACCTTAGTGTCTACGCACTTTTTATCAATCATATTATAGTAATCCATAGAGTTCTTGGCAAAACCTATGATGCCATAGGGCGACAGTCTCTCCAGCCATTCCTCATACTTATCTATGTTTAGTAGATAAGCTGTAAGTTTTTCAGCCAGTTCATCCACTGAATAAAATGAGAAAAATATATTAACGAAGAGAAATAAAACAAAGAAAAGTTAAAAGCATGCACAGAACACCTATCTCGTAGATATTTTTTTCGATTTTAGTAAATTGAAAGAATTTTTTCTTTTTATTTTACACATAGTGCTATTTACCTTTATTTCATTTATTTAAAAAGTTTTTATTTTAATTTTTGAAGTTTCTTTTTTATAAATATAATTACATACTTTTATATGATTTTTTCAATGAAAACAAAGATTATATTCCACGAGATCCTTCTAGTATTTTTCGACAATATCTATTCTAATATAGATTAATATACCTAGTGTATTTTTGATCATAATGCGGTAGGGCGGCATAGGTCCCAGGCTGGTGAGGATGTGAAGAGAGTCCACACCGGGTACGTTGTACTTGTTACATCTTAGCGCCGATGATTCCAGAATCCCCGCTTCTGCTTGCTTACCGGCGACCATTTCCAGTACTTCGAGCTGCGTGCTAGCATCTGAATTGAAAAGGTAATTGAAAAAAACTTTGTCTGTATCTACTATTCAAAAGTATTTCGATTCGTTGGAAAGATATAATAGACGAAGCAAATATTATTTAACACTTTCGCTCAACAATATTTCGTTTACTATTGTTATTTCTTCAATTTGGCATTCTTTTTTGACATTTTTGATGCATCTCTATAATGAGGATCTTAACGAAACGGACATACAATTAATAGATATACATATAATTTATATAGTTAATAATTATCAATTATATAGATAAAATAAAACTAACCGAGTACATTACCAAAAAATATCATGTTTTCGCCTTTTCTTTGTAAATAATTAAGGAGTAATCCAGAGGCGGAGAATTGGTGTCGTTCATTTTGAATAGAGCATCTATATCCTCGTAAATCCATAATATTCTGCAGTTAATAAATGATTGCCAGTTTTAAAATTATTTGAGAGAATGTACATCTTATAATTATTATTTTTAAATAAATACAAATTTTAATGATACATAATTAAACTCTATTAATTATAGACTAAGGAATAAGAAAAATGATAAAAAATTGCTAAATTCATTTACTTGAATATGCGAAGCACGATCCTTTGCAACGATTACATCGGCGTACATGCTGGCTGACTTGTCTTTATTTAAACGATGATCAAAAACAAAGCTTGCGGGTAAGAGTACACCGTCTTTCCATGTTTCGGCCGCGGGCAAGATAACTGTAGAAATAAGTTAAAAGATAACATTTTTATTTTTTTATTAGTACTGTTTCATATTTTTAACAGGATGCACTTTTCTCTCCGTTGGTCGTGAACAAATAAAGTTTGTAAGCCACGGTTTTGAAATAAAAACTATCGTAGTCAAACATCACAAAGCGATGTTTAAGGATACATATTTAAAGAAAAGACGTTGAAGAAAAATAATACGTAATTGACCTTCAGATGTATTTATGAAAGCCTTCGTTTATATTCTAGAATAGTAAAATCTTTCTTGAGAAATATCTATTTAGACGTACCTATATCGACGACTTCCGTAGCGATAGATCGGTTGCTTCTGCACTCATGCAACAAGACAACTGGCTTCTTCGTGACAACTTCGATCATTTCTGCAAACATTTCAAAGAGCCCAATCGGCAGTGAGGGCACTAAATGATGCGTTGCTAGGACCAAATGATGTTCTTCGAAGTTCGGTGTTGACATAGGTGGCCAGAATTTACGTGCCTTAATCACGTCTCGAGTTAATTCCTTCGTTAAATGTTTAAGATTTTAGTTAATTTCCATCTTAACTATATTTTATTTTAATTTTGTGAATAAAATTTATTTAAGAAATTTAATTGAATTTATTCTGAGAAAGAAAAATTAAATTTGTCAGAATAAGAATTATAAAACTATTATATAAACGAAATTTTTTGCATAGCTATTATTAGCTGATAATTTAAATTTATGAAACAACCAAAATAAATTCTTTAAATTTATTTAACTCTTTAAAATTAATTTTTAAAATATAAATTTGTTTTAAAATATTTAAAATTTCAAAAATTAAATATTCATAAATTACGTTTTTAAAATAAATTATTAATATTTATAAAACAATATTAAGAGAGAAAATATTAAGTTAAAACTTACAACTTTTTCGATGACGGGTATCATTACTGTCTTGCCAGTACCATCAGCTGATTTCGTAGAATCCTCTTTGAAAAAACTTTCTTTAAGCTGATTTTCTTCAAGCTTAAGGAACTTTGTTAAATCGTCCTTTTCTTTCTCGTCTAACTTGTAGTCATCAGTTAGACTAGAGGATATACTAGTATGCTCATCATCTGTAGTGGACTCATCATCTACAGATTTACTATGTATTAATAGTTTCTCCTCCATTTCATCACTTGTTATGGGAATAGATACCGGTATAGAAATGCACTTACTGCAGTTGCATTCTGTATTTCCATATATCATGATTTTGGTATTGCGTGTTAGACCTTCTTTTGACATTTCAGCTTCCTTTGTTTTGTTGGAGATGAAAGGTTCGGACGTAGTCTGGACTTCTTGAGAACTCTCGGGCATTTGGTACATTTCTTCAACGTTTGGATCTTTAAAAGATTTACTTATAATACGGTTGAACTCTTCGGTCTTATTCTTGGGCATTAGGCACACTTTTGCAACTTGTGGAATTTCAGGAGTTTCAAGCTTGGTGGACTCTTCAGATGTAGTCTTGCGTATTTGGCATACTTTTGCAGCTTCTGGAATTTCAGGAGCCTTAATTTCGATGGACCCTTCGGACGTAGTTTTGAGCATTTCAGGCATTTGGAATATTTTTGCAGCTTTTGGGATTTCAGGAGTCTCAAATTCGATGGACCCTTCGGACGTAATCTTGGGCATTTGGAACATTCTTGCTTTTGGAATTTCAGAAGCTTCCAGCTTGGATTCTTTCGATGCAATCTTGTGCATTTCTGGAAGTTTACAATACTCAGCTTTGTCAGAAGTCCACGTTTTGGATGCGATCTTCGGCATTTCGCATACTTCTGGAAATTTACGATCAGTTTTGCTGGAAGTGTTTGACGTAGTGATAGGCTTTTGGCATACTTTCGAAGTCTCAGGTTGCATAAAAGTGAATGATTTGGACATTTGGAATTCTTCTTCTATAGCTTCAGAATTGTCAGGCTTGCTGGAGATAGATAATTCGGTCATTGTCTTGGATATTTGACATGTTTCCGTATCTTTAGAATCCTCAGGTTTATTGGAAGTAGAGATTTTAGACATACTCTTGATACTTTGCGAAGTTTCCGTTTTAAGCTTTTCTGTTATTTCTTCCACTTTCTTCTTGGTACCTTCCATCAATGTCTTGAATTGCTCTATTGTCTTTGTGTCTTGTTCCTTCTTCAATTTCTCGTTACATTGCCAAGATTCAGTTTTCTTTTCGCTCATTTTCGTGAACACCGAAGAAGCACTGCCGACACCAGAATCCCGAAAACAAAAAGACGGTAGAAACAACGGGAGATTCTCGTGTAAGAATCACGTTTCAAATCGATGGGAAAGCAGTTTTAAACTGTCGATCGGCGGAGAGGTCGAGTTCGATTATGATCCTTCAAGACGGATATGTGTATGTCACTGTTTATCGTCAGTCGTTGGTCGCATGACAACTGCGTGTATCACGGGAATGACGATACTGCTCCACTGTGTAAGCGATACCGGTCTTGCCTTGAGGTCGCGATAGGTCTGCAAATTTTATTTTCCTTTTCTTTTCTTCTCAACAATATTCTCTCCCACTTACAGTACAGTTTATTAAACATACGTTTAATAATATACAAGATGCCCCCGAAGTGCCCGACTTTCAACGATATCTAAAGGTCAAAGTCAGAAAGAGAATTTAATTTAAATTGTGTCTGTAAAAAGATACGAAATATTTTTATCGTTCCCCTCGGCAAACAAATAATTCAAAAATTATATGTATCAATTAAGAAAATATAATTAAGTAAATAAGGAAAGTTAACTTGCGCGTATTTATCGTCTTTCATTTATTATTAGCGTCTTTTGGTTCCTATATTGAATTTTTATTTTCATTTTATTATTATTAAGAGCCATTCACGCAAAAAAATATTTTGCTGATCTAACTAGAATTATAACTGCTTTTTGTATCTGATTATGTATCATCATAAGAAAATTATGTATCATATGCATAGAATTTATAGCACAAATCTAAATTCTATCTCTGTCTACATGATTGGATATAACATAGTACATATCCAATATTGCAGTACTTGCTACAAATTTATCTATTTTAGTTATTTTTTATATTTAGATAATTTTTGCTGTAACTGCAAGATCACTTTTTTGAGTGTTACACAAACATTGCCGTAATTTCTTATGTCATCTTATGTCATCGTAAGACATATAATATAACACACGGAAAAAAAAATAAAGAGTGATAAGCAGCTTGTGGATACAGTGAATGCAAAAAGTATTTGTACAGAGAAAATATTTGTTAAAAATTTTATTTTTTAAAAGTAAATATTATCAAATGAGAAATGAGTCATCGAATCTGATATTGAATCGATATCGATACAATGATTTCAACACCAATTTAACGTCGATTCGATGTTTAATTGACGATTATTTCTTGTTGAGTAATTAGCAATTCATAAAGAATAAAATAGACTATAATGTTTCTTAAAATTATATATACTAAAAAGATGTGTATTAATTATAGAAAATATAGCATCTAAAAAAAAAAAGCAAAAATTAAAAATTGTATTGTTTGGATGCTTAAAAGATATTCGTACAGTCGAGAAATTTAGCTTCTAAAATGAAAAATACATGCGAAGCTCATTCGTTTATTTTAGAACAGAATGTATTCATTGTATAAAATTGCTAAGTAATGTTTATTTTCTAAAAATAAGATTTTTTTTTCATGTACGAATATATTTTGCTCTCACTGTATATATTTCTTTGTGCGTTATTTACTAAGGACGTGTAACCCTTGTTACGAAATGATGTGATAGAAACTGAGGTTAGGTTCCTGCGTTTTTTAGGTCAATGCATTTAATTTACCCGGGGATCGGAGATCAGGTTGTGCGATGATTGAAAATAATCATAAGGAAAAAATGGATAATAATTTGTAGGAGAAATAGATTCTGGCCTTGCAAGAGTTACGAAAGTTATATAGGAGCTCACGCGGACTTTGGCTTTACACGTGGCTTTATGGCTTAGGTTCCTGCGTTTTTTAGGTCAATGCATTTAATTTACCCGGGGATCGGAGATCAGGTTGTGCGATGATTGAAAATAATCATAAGGAAAAAATGGATAATAATTTGTAGGAGAAATAGATTCTGGCCTTGCAAGAGTTACGAAAGTTATATAGGAGCTCACGCGGACTTTGGCTTTACACGTGGCTTTAAATGAAATTGGAATTGATTGGATTTAAATGAAATTGGAAGTTAATACTGTCGTTTATTAAAAAAGAAAGAAATAGTAATTATATATTATATGTGAGATAACTTATATGAGAGGAGTGCGAATATTATAATTCCTACTTACGAAGGCGACTGTCGTGACGGACTCTATTCCGAGATTATTATACTTTTCTACTGACTGACTACCTTTTGTAGTCAGACTTCTTTTATATTCTGGCAAAGAGTGCGAGGATTTTCCCAGGACCAATCACTTTTCAAGATTTGGTAGGGCCTATACTCACATTAATTTTTTGAAGATACGACAGCAAGGCTCCGTGTAAACCCTACTCTCGACACTACGAATCTAGGTTTTATGTTAAGAATAAAATAATTCGATTTTCTTAATTAACATCCTTATGCGAGGCGAAGTAATGATATATTCTAAATTTTAAATTAGTTTTAATTTTATGGAGAAAATGAAAAAAAGAAAAGAAAGGAAAAAAAGGAAAAAAAATAAAGATATTCATCCTCGCATTCGGGAAGGTCTTAATATATACTACTATTTAATATATAATGCTACTTAATATATAATACTACTTAATATATAATACTACTTAATTATTAGGCATATATGCTATTGTTTAGTTATTATTTTAGAAAAAGGATCTTTAAAAGAAAAGAGAGAGGGAAGATTTTAGAATAGATATTCTGGCAAAGAGAGTATGGGGATTTTCCCAGGATCAATCACTTTTCAAGATTTGGTAGGGCCTATACTCACACTTATTTTTTTAAGATAAGACAGCAAGGCTCCGCGTAAGCCCTACTCTCGACACTATGAATCTAGATTTTATGTTAAGAATAAAATAATATTCTTTATCTATGTGATGCATAAGGGTATACAAATGTGAGCTATCTGTTGATTTGAATGTTTAGAAAAAGAAATTAAATATGCCCTGCTATAAAAGGGAAAAGAATTTTACAATGTATAAAAGGTATGATAAGTTTCGAGATAAAAGATACTAGGGACAATAGGAAAATAGGAACAAAATATCAAAACCAAGACGAAAAACTAGAGATAAGATAAAGGTAAGGTATAAATCGTATATTTATTTATAATAAGGAAAGAGAGAATTTTATCGGGATGTAACACCCTTCCATGCACAGTAGAAGAATTTACTTTATTTGTGAAAAATATTGCATGCGAAAACACTAGAGAAAATACTAGGGAAATCTATAATATACACGTAACGGATGCTGTAATATTTTTTTCATTTTTGTGTGTGATATTTTTAAGAATAGGGCCTTTGCAACCCTTTAGGAAAGAGCATTTGGGCCAAATTTGATTGGCTGTTCTAAATACGGCACTATATATCGCTATTTATACATGCACACTTGTACTCTCTAAAACTTTTCAAGTAAATAGTCTCTCTGAAAGGTAAACTCTGAAAAGTAAAATCTTACTTTTAAAGATTGAAAACCGAGCCACTCTTTTCTTTTTGCTTAATTTTCTTTAAAGCGAGATTCTACTGCAAAGAATTTAAAGGGTAGGAAAGTGCATTTGCATCTTTTGATTAGCTGTTCCAATATGCTACATTTCTTTTACATCTGTTTTTTGTGACTGCATTAGTGTACACTTTTGGAATTAGTGTACACTTTTGAAACTTAAAGTAAGATAGATATATGTTTAAATTTGACGAAAGCAAGAGAGAGAATTCTAGTACAGTTTAGTACAGGAATAAAAAACAGATTTTATGTCACACATTAATGTTACACTTGTTTCCTACATCAAAATGATTGATTCCACTTGTCATTTTGTCTCATCATTCTGTTTCATTTCTTATAATAAACCTACTTTACAATATTTGGAGACTTGCTTCTTCTTTTGTGTACGTTTCCATTAAAAATAATTCCTCGTTGGTCAAAAATTGGATGCGTTGATCTCAAATCGTGTCGAGTTGGGATTTTGACAGTCGTTTGACGAGTTCTGCAAACGGACGAAAGTCCCACCGACCTTATCTAACATGTTTATGGCCGATGAAGACTTCATCCGGACGCATCGCTCGTTTTTGATGATCGTTATCGAATGACACGACCCGACGATATCGAATCGACCAATTTCTTCTGGAAATCTTTCGCTGTTGTCATATATAGGTCATATAGGTCAATTTTTAATTTGAGAAATCGCAGTTTTGTCTTCGATTATCTTAAGTCGGCATTGAATTTCCAATTCAATAAAACTCAGTAGTTGGAAAAGAATTATGAAAGTTTAAGATAAGATCAATCTATAATAACAAGAAAATTAACGATACATAATACAATTAAATGAGAAGAGCTTTAATCGGTCAAAGACCTTCGATCGAATCAGCCTAGATAAAGTTAAGACATAAGACGTTTTTAAGATATTTTTAGACGTCAAAGACGTTTTATGTCTCCAATTTTGATAATTTATGTTGTCTGAGAGGCTCTTCTCGTTTAATTAAAATTATAATCAACGTTAAGATTTATATTCATTAAATCAAATTAATTCATATTAAAATAAATTCAGCTATAATAAGTAACGGGCAAAGTAAGAGTCAACACATTTCTTTGAAATTAACAAAAATTATATTATAATTAACAGAGGTAAAATTACATAACGCAAAAATTAGAATCGAAATTACGAAAATGATTTACAAGTTTCGGCTACCGGATCGAGCCCTCTTCAGACATTAACATAACGAAAAAATCGCAGAATGAAATCAATTATCGCAAATGATCGTATATATACCGAACATTCACAGTTCGGGTGAGTCTTGATGTCGAGTTCAACATTATGTCCGTATGATTTTTCGTTATGTTAATGTCTGAAGAGGGCTCGATCCGATAGCCGAAACTTGTAAATCATTTTCGTAATTTCGATTCTAATTTTTGCATTATGTAATTTTACCTCTGTTAATTATAATATAATTTTTGTTAATTTCAAAGAAATGTGTTGACTCTTACTTTGCCCGTTACTTATTATTATTTGTTTTGTATAGAAAGAGTCCTTCGATTTGTTATTTAAATTCAGCTATATTAAAAAATATATCCAGAAAGAATTATTGTTTGTGAAATAAGAAAATCTTTTCCAAATTTAATTATTACTATTCTCTCTCTCTCTCTCTCTCTCTCTCTCTCTCTCTCTCTCTTCTTTT